CTGATTGGTCAATAAATAAAACACTGATTGGCCAGTGGCTAGGCAGGAAGTATACACGGGAGTAACAGAGAGGAGAATTGAGAGAACAGGAAACTGGGGGGGGAGACACTGCCAGCTGCCGCCATGACAAGCAGCATGTGAAGATGCCGGTAAGCCACGAGCCACGTGGCAAGGTATAGATTTATGGAAATGGATTAATTTAAGATGTAAGAACTAGATAGCTAGAAGCCTGAGCCATTAGGTAGGCTAAACAGCTTAAATAATATAAGTGTCTGTGTGTTTATTTTATAAGTGGGCTCCAGGACTGGTGGGGCTTGGTGGGAGCTGGAGAGAAATTCTCCAGCTACAGTATGGGCCATCTGAAGGAAGACAGAGCTGGGAGTGGTGGCACATGCCTGTAATCACTTGGGAGACTGAGGTCAGAGGATCGATCACAAGGTCAAGGCCTGTTGGACTACACAGCAAAAGACTCACAGCCAAAACCACAGCAGCTGTCCACTCGTTCTTTAGGCAAAGCTCTCTGAGTCTCTCAGGGCAAATCATGGTCTGGTCTCAGTTCTGTTCCAATATCTGTGATAAACACCATGACCAAAAGCACCTTGGGAAGGGGAGGGTTTATTTCAGCTCATAGTTATAGGGCAGTCAGGGGAAGAACTCAAGCAGAGACCTCAGGAGAATTCTGCTTAATGGTTTGGTCCTCTGGCTTGCTCAGTCTGCTTTCTTACACACCCCAGGACCACCTGCCCGGGGAGGGCACCTCCCAGTGTGGGCTGGGTCCTTCTATCTCAATCATCAATGTAGAGAATTCTCCCACAGGCTTGCCTAGATGGGGGCATTTTCTCAATGGAAGTTCTCTCTTCTCAGATGACTTCAAGTTGTATCATTTTGGGGAAAACTGAGCAGCACAGGTGTATACTGTTAGGTTTGGATGGCTTCAGTGTGCCCCCAACATTTCAGGTGTTAGAATTTGGGCCCATAGGATGGTACTATTGAGAGAGGATATGGAGTCTTTTTTTTTTTTTTAAAAGGTTTATTTATTATGTATACAGTGTTCTGCCTGTATGTATTCATGCATACCAGAAGAGGGCACCACATACAGATGGTTGTGAGCCACCATATGGTTGCTGGGAATTGAACTCAGGACCTCTGGAAGAGCAGCCAGTGCTCTTAACCTCTGAGCCATCTCTCCAGCCCCAATATAGAGGCTTTTGAAAGGTAGGGGTCCGGGTTGGGGATTTAGCTCAGTGGCAGAGCACTTGCCTAGCAAGCACAAGGCCCTGGGTTCGGTCCTCAGCTCTGGGGCAGGGCGGGGGGTCGGTCTTTAGGGCTGGGGATGTAGCTTACATGGTAGACTGCTTGCCTCGTGTGCTTGAAGCCCTGGGTTCAATGCCCGGCACTACATAAACCCAGCATGGTGGCACATGGCTATCATCCCAGCACGCTGAGTAGATAGATACATAGAAAATTTAAGGCCAGTCTTGGGATACATGAGACTGGTTCAAAAATAAATAACTACATACATATATACATAAATACATTAATAAATAAGTGGACCTGGTGCTATGGCACATGCCTGTGCACCAGGGAGGCAGAGGCAGGAAGATCTCTATAATTTCCAGGCCAGCCTGGTCTATGTGGTGAGATCCTGTCTCAAAATAAATAAGTAAAAAGATAGATAATCAGCAGGATAATCAGCAGGAGTTGGTGGCAGGCAAGAAAGGGCAGTGGGGTGAATATGATAAGAATTTATACACGTATGAAAATGTCATAATGGAGCCCATAATTATGAATAATTACTAAGTGTTAATAAAAAACACATCAAGTGGGATCTGGAGTCTGTCATCCCAACACCTGATGCAGGGACTGAGACAGGAGGACAGCTGTGAGTGTAGGTCAACCTGGGCTATGGAGACTCTGTTTCAAGAAACAATCCCACCAGTGTTGGAGGTGGGCCCAGTGGGAGGCCCCTAGTTTAATGAGGCACATGTTCCAGGAGGGGATTAGGGTGTATTACACAGGACTCTCGTTAGTTCCTTCCAAAAGGTTATTGCAAAAGCGTGAGCCTGGCCCCACCCAGTTTCTCTCTGGCTTCCGGTTTCCAGATGCAATCTCTCAGGCTCCAGCCATGATGTGATGCAATCGAGAGAACCCATCCATGCCAGGGCTGGTGGCAGTGCTGTACCCTTGGCGCTCAATGCTGTGAGTTACGTAACTCCCTCTTATTAATAAAGTTAGCCCTCCCCGGGCATTCCACTGTAGTAACACCAGATGGATTAGTACCCTGTGGCTGGGTGAGAGTGTGGCAGAGCCAAGCTCACTTGCGACAGGAGGCAGGAACCAGCCGCAAACACCAGTGCACAAACTCCTTGCAGATCTTCCGCTGCACAGATGTCTTTACCCGTGGACCCCAGGTAGGCACCCTCCCCACAGCTGTGGGTCTGAGAACATCCTTCAGCTCACTGAGGTGTGTTTGAATGCGTCTGGCCTCTTGTCTCTTAGGGGTGCTGGGGAATGCTTGTGTTCAAGTCAACCACCTGTGAAGATAGTGCCCTCCCACAGGAAGCCAGATCTTTGACATTGTGATTGGTGGCAAAGAAAATCCCATTGTCCCTAGGCCCTGCTCTAGATTTTGGGTGAGCAGAGGCATGGTTTGGGTCCCTAAGGGTGTTCCTCTGAGGTGGGATGATAGTGGCCCCGTCACTCTCCAGCAGCCTGGGAACCTAGCTTGATGGCACCCTGGAGTAAGCGACGGGTGAGGTGGTCCCATCCTCAGGACTGTTTTCCTTTCCTTATGTCTGAGTCTTAAGTAAAAAGATTGGACTGGATGTTCCGATCTAGGGTCAGCTGTTGGTGTCGGGGCTATTACGACATTTCTGTTTATCTTTAAACACCGATGCAGAGGGGTCCATTGTCCTCTGTCTAAAGCCAGGTGGCAGTGATGACAGACACACCAAGGAGTCTGTATCCCAGGGCTACATTTAAGGGTAAGGGGTCCATTTGGCCCCCTCAATTAAAGACTTCTGAGAATTCAGATGAGGGATGATAGATGTCGTAACCTCAAAAGACAGCGAATGACCAAAACACTGTCAAAAGGGAAAGGTGGTATTTCTTCTTTTTTGTTTATTTGTTTTGTTTTTTTGAGACAGGGTTTCTCTGTGTAGTTTTGGTGCATGTCCTGGATCTCGCTCTGTAGACCAGCCTGGCCTTGAGCTCACTGCCGCCCACCTATGAAAGATGGTATTTCTAAGAACAGGTAAACCATCAGTCAGCCAGTGGCACTGGGACGCTCCTTCCTAGGCCTGGACTCCTCTTAACTAAGCCTCTAAGCTTGAGCTTTGTTTTCCTTCCCCATTAATTTGAGACAGTGTCTCGCTCTGTAGTCCTCGCTGGCCTGGAACTCACCATCAAATTTGCCTCAAGATCACAGCGATCTCCCTGCCTTTGCCTCCCTCCCAAGTGCTGGGATTAAAGGCCTGGCCTAGCATATTATTTCCGATGCACTTCCTGTTACCAGCTGCTGGGGGTCCCCTCACTGGGTTTCTCCCACCTTTTGGGACTTTTCTGAACCCTTCATGACTGAATGATGTGAATTTCCTTGTCCCTGGAAGTATTATCTCTCCCTTTGACAATGTATAGTGGCTGTTCTCATGGGGTTCAGTTTTAGGGCTGAGGTACCAGCATACTGCCGGAGGCTGAGACTCGGGCATATGGATCAGAAGCTCTAGCCTCAGATCGCTGGGCCAGCCCTGGTCTTAAGAGTTTGAAAAATGACAGAGAGAGAAAGAAGCAGTGCAGAGGGGGCTGAGGAAAAGGCAGGGCGCCCTGTGTCTTAATGTGCTCTGAAATGGCGAGAGGTAGTTTTGTCAACCTGGCCTAACCTCAGAATCACACGGGGAGAGTCTCAGCGAAGGAATCCCCAGATCAGACTGGCCTCGGGCATGCCTGGGGCTCGGGGTGGGGTTCTTGCTGGCCTCGATTGATGTGGGAAGACTTACCTAAAAGGGGGCCCACACTCTTCCCCAGATTTGGGTCCTGAATTGTAAGGTAGGAAAAGTTCGCTGAGCATGAAGCATGCGTGCATTCGCATCTCTCTGCTCCCGCCTGTGGGTGTGACATGACTGGCTGTGTCAAGTTCCGGTGCTTAGCCTTCCCTGCAGCAATAGATGGTGACCGGGAATAGTGAGCTGAAAATAATCCTTCCTCCCCAAACTGCTTCTTGCCAGGGTGTTTAATCCCAGAAGCAGCAAGGAAGTAGAATGCTGATCAGTCAAGCTGGAGAGCTGACAGATGAAAAGCTAAAAGGTCAGCACTCGGAAGCACAAGCATTCATTCCATTTCAGCAAACCTGCCCTGAGAAGGGTTACTAAAATGAGACTGCTTTTACACCAGTGAAGTTTCAATGTGAAGATTGATGTCACAGTCAGATGTCTATCATCCGCCAAAAAGATTTGAAGGAGCTGGGGTTGTAGCTCAGCCGGGAGAGTGCTTGCCCAGTGTGTGTGAAACCCTGGGTTCTGGTCCAGCGCCACATGAACGGGGTGCAGTGATGCACACTGTACTCCCAGCACCAGGGAGGTGGAAGCAGGAAGGTCACAAGATCAAGTCATCCTTGGCTACATAGTGAGTTTGAGGCCAGTCTGGACTACACGAAACTGCTTCAAACAATAAAATAGGAAAAGGGGGGTGGGGAGAGATGGCTCAGTGGTTAAGAGTACCTGCTGCTCTTGCAGAGGACTTGGGTTCAATTCCCAGCACTCATATGGTAGCTCCCAACTGTAACTCCAGGCCCAAGAGATTGGCCCACTTCTGGCCTCCTGGGGCACCAAGCATGCAGATGGTGCACGTGCATACATGCAAGCAAAACACCTACACACATATAAATAAGTAGAAAAATTTTAAAGAAAATAATAACACAAGAATAAAAAGGATTTCAAACTCCACTTAGATTGTTAAAATGTGGTTATTATTTACTTTTACTTGTTACAGAACAAGGGACTGAATGATCATTCACGTAACTTTATTAATATAGACACTGGTGAACAAAGTGAACGGGGCTAGAATAGTTCTCTTGTAAATTCACTTTCTCATGGACAGTGCTGAAAATTATTTCAGTCATGTTTACTCCAAACTCGATTTTTTAACAAGAGTCACAGAAAAACAGGCTTCTAAAATATTCTGGAACTAGGCCGGGCAGTGGTGGCGCACGCCTTTAATCACAGCATTCGGGAGGCAGAGGCAGGCGGATCTCTGTGAGTTCCAGGCCAGTCTGGTCTGCAGAGTGAGATCCAGGACAGGCGCCAAAGCTACACAGAGAAACCCTGTCTCAAAAAAAAAAAAAAAAAAAAAAAAATCTAGAACCATAGCTCTTATCACAAAGCCATATTTCATGTTGACAATTTCATTTATAGTAATATATATACATATATATGTATATATGTATGTATATATATATTTATTACTATCATCTTAGAAGCCAAATAACTCCAACTAAAAGAAAGAAATCACATATTGTGCCAACTAGTGGCTGATCATTGAAGCAGAAAGGCCCCATCTTCCTTCTGAGGATGTAGGTTTGTTTTAATCGTTACAATCTTTCCAGAATGATTTGTTGGCCCCAAATCAGCGTTGGGAGCCGTTCTTCCGAATCCCACCTCTCTGCTCTCTGGAGATGGACTGGTTCCTCTCCACCTGCCTCGGCATCCTCCTAGGTACCCAATACTGTGCTCAAAAGCAACTAGCCACGCCCGAGAGCCCCAGGTTTTCTAAGGAGACAGGAACAATAAACAATCTTGTCAGTCCGTCACTTGCCAAAGATGGCAAGGAACAAACTTCAGATACCTCATTATCAAAGGGTCCCCAAGATGGGAAGCTGGGTCCCCAAGACAGTAACTAAGGGTTCTTACGTTGCTGAAAGTCTCTGGGGAGTCTGGTTTAGGACACTGTGGGGCTTAAGGAAAGTTGGTGGAAACCGAGCATTTCAACTTGTGATCAGAGAACAAACTAGATGTGAACCCTTACCTTTGCATTGACCTTAGGGACATTTGCCCCCTCTGAAAGTTACAAAAATATATTCAGACTCTTTAGCATTGAAACCTATTCTCAGAACTTTTTTTTTTTTTTTTTTTTTTTTTTTTGGTTTTTCGAGACAGGGTTTCTCTGTGTAGCTTTGCGCCTTTCCTGGAACTCACTTGGTAGTCCAGGCTGGCCTCGAACTCACAGAGATCCACCTGCCTCTGCCTCCCGAGTGCTGGGATTAAAGGCGTGAACCACCACCGCCTGGCTATTCTTAGAACTTTTTAATCAACTAGCTTAACCGATTAACTTCTCTAGCCAATGGATCCTAAAGGTTAGCCCATGTACTTGCTCAGTGTTTTCTTTGTCCAGTGCCCACAGGGAAGGACTTTTTAAGTGCAAGAGTCCCAATATGCTATTTCCTGACCTTCAATGATCGTCTATCCAGCAGATCTCCAAAAGCCTTTCAACAGTTTGGAGCTTGAATAAGCTCAGGATACACAGTAGCAAACTACAAAAAGCACCTGTCAGCTGGAGATTTTTAATTTATTATTTATGTGTGTGTATATCTGTGTGTGTGTGCGCGCGCTCGTGCGTGTGCCCTGTGCACACACATGCAGGTGCCAGCAGAGGCCTGAAGAGGGCACTGGATCCCTGCAGCTCGAGTTCCAGGCAGTTGTGAGCCTTCTGAAATGGGTGCTGGGAATTGAACTCTGGTCCTCTGCAAGGGCAGCAAGGAGCATGCACTCTTAACCCCCCAGGGGCTTTTTCTCCAGCTCCCCCCCCCCTTTTTTTTTCTTGAGATTATTAAATTTCATTTGGAGACTTTAGTTGGTTAAATCTCATTACAACTTAGAACTTCTTCAGTTTTGTGTTTCAAAAATACATCTTTTGGTTTTGTTGTTTAAATACCTATGTTTAGAAATGTCAACCTTGCCGGGCGGTGGTGGCTCACACTTTTAATCCCAACACTCTGGAGGCAGAGGCAGGTGGATCTCTGTGAGTTCGAGGCCAGCCTGGGCTACTGAGTGAGCTCCAGGAAAGGCGCAAAGCTACACAGAGAAACCCTGTCTCGAAAAACCAAAAAGAAAAACTGGGGGAAAAAATGTCAACCTTTAAGTCCCTAGAGTTTCAAAGAGCACCGAGGCTTCAGGAATGCCCTGTGTGGGTCACAGATCTGAGTCTCAGTCCTACCCATCGCCTGACGGATTGACCTTTCCTTTAGCAGGATCTTTTTCTTGCTACATCCTTATAGCAATACTGACTGAATTTTCTCTCGACTTGGTTTCTTGCGGTTTGATTAGTTCTCTGAAAACTACAAAGGGGTATGATTAGTTCTCTGAAAACTACAAAGGCACACAATTCTTGAGTCCCTGAGGCATAACAATCAGGTTCTACATCTGGTGTCAGGGCAACTCAAAACTGACCAGAGCAGTAAATGACCGTGAACATCAAAAGGGTCAAATTTTAATGAATTTCCACAGATTCACCCAGTTTAGAAAGCCCGTCTTGACTCCGGGGGTTTTCTCTTCTTCCTGGTTAATGTCAGCTGGGTTTTCGTCTGTGATTTCTTTTGCTTCTGTGAAGGCCTCATACATTTTCTGGACTCTGGTCACTTCTTTCTGGGCATCAAAATGGACTTTCTGCCTGGTTAGAATGGGAACAATCAGGTTGAAGTCACTGATCCGCTTGTTTAGCTTCCGGATGTCTTCTTGAAACTGCTCACACACTTGGTTCCACTGTTTCTGGCCCCCGGGTGTCAGCGGGTTACCGAGCTTCTTCCTAGACACTAAAAGTGCTTCTCGAAGTTGCTCGATGGTATCCTTGATTTCCTTCTGCATCAGAATCCACTCTGGTTGGTAGCCATTATCTATCAATATTCTGTTTAGGTTGTGAGTCATGGGATCAATATACGAACAGCCAGAAAACTTCTTCAGAGGCTTTCCTTTCCCGCTGAGGTTGTCGAAGTCTCCTTTTGCCATCGACTCCTGAATGAGGTCCTCCACCAGGCGCTCGATGGCTTGAGTTATCTTTCGTTCTTTGCTCTGTCTTACGTCTTGGACAGTTATGCTATTAGCAAAGTGCTCCCTCTGGAGTTTCTGCTTTTGGTATTCCATCACCTGCTCCGTTGCACGGTCTGCCCTAAACTGTCTGTACTGTCTCTCTCGTTGACTTGGTGTCCCAAAGCCAACGCCTTCAAAGCTTAAATAATGTCGGTGCTGAGGTGTTCTATATTTGAATTTTTCCTCTTCTTCTTCTGTGTCTTCAGCTTTGTTCTCTCTGGCACGTGTTTGTTCTATGACATGGGAAAGCACATTCCTATAAGCTTCTTCGATCTTTATAAATGTTGCAGAATCAGCCTTATCAGAGCCGCTGTCTGGGTGATACTGCTTGGCAAGCTTATGGAAAGAGTCCCTAACATCGTCTGCAGAGCATCCCTCATCTAGGTTCAGCAGCCTGTAATATTCCTTGATCGTCTTCTTGGATTTATGGGTGGAGAGCATCCTAGATCCAGGATCTGAAAGCATTTTTACCCCATGAGGAGGCAATGAAGTGCTCATTAGATGTGGTCTTAAGATCTGAGCCATCTTCATGCTCATTGTGTTCATCATTGATTCGGAATTCTTCCTAGCAATGGTCTACAAAACAGCAAAGAGCAACCAACCTGTATTATCAGTCATTTTCTTTTTTTCACCAACAAAGTAAATTAAGGTGTACTTAGTAAGCACCGATTCTTGGGGCAAGAGAATGGAGAGAAGTTTGGTTCCCAGCACACAAATGGCAGCTAACAAATGTTCCTAACTTCAGTTCCAGGAGGTCTGACACCTTTGGGCCTACTCAGGCATTGGATGTACATGATGCTCAGACATACATGTAGGCAAAACACCCATATGCACATAAAAAGAAAGAGAAAAGTCAGTTCTTTGTAACAATGTTGCTATGCAAAATATATACATTTTTATATTTATATATTTTACTGATGTTAGCTAGAGGGTGGACACTGATGTTTAGAAATTACATATTGTGACACAATCTGAATTCTTCTACTTACCAAGAACCTAGATAGTTCTTTTGTTTGTTTGTTTGTTTTTTGTTTTTTGAGACAGGGTTTCTCTGTGTAGCTTTGCGCCTTTCCTGGAACTCGCTCTGTAGACCAGGCTGGCCTCGAACTCACAGAGATCCGCCTGACTCTGCCTCCCAAGTGCTGGGATTAAAGGCTTGTGCCACCACTGCCCGGCCCCAAATAGTTCTTAGAATTCCCCTAATCCAATTTTCTCATTTTATAAGAAAGCAGGGGGCTGGAGAGATGGCTCAGTGGTTAAGAGAACTGACTGCTCTTCTAGAGGACCCAGGTTCAATTCCCAGCAACCACAAGGCAGCTCACAACTGTCTGTAACTCCAAAATCTGACACCCTCATGCAAATAAATACATGCAGGCAAAACACTAATGCAAATAAAAATAAATAAATTGAAAAAAGAAAGCAGGCCTAGAAGGTTAAGCAAATCAATTAAATAACATTACAAGGTATGACAAATGATTAGGGCTGGGGAATTGGCTTGACTGGTTTTTGTTTGTTTTTTTGAGACAGGGTTTCTCTGTATAGCTCTGGCTGTCCTGGAACTCACCCTGTAGACCAGGCTGGCCTTGAGCTCACAGAGGTCAACCTGCCTCTGCCTCCAGAGTGCTGGGATTAAAGGTGTGCGCCACCACTGCCCCGCAATTGATTTAATTGTATCCTCAGCAAATTGCAAATTTCCCCAAGCACTTCTTTTTTTTTTTTGACAGATAGTGTAGCATGGTCGTCATGAATACTTGTTGCACACCAAACAGGGAGCATCAGAGAGACAGGGACCCAGTGTGACACTAGACTAAACAGAGTACTGCGTGCAACCGACTTTAAGCTCCGCACCTCACTATCTGCCAAGTGCTGGGGGGTGGGGGGAGAGGGGAATGAAAGCTGAGCGATCCCCAGCCTTATTAAAAACGCATGGTCCTGTGGAGAAGAAAGACACTGGACACTGACAAGAGACGATGACGTACTGGAGGATCACTGGATGTGAATTTACTGGACGTTTGATTGTAAGGCGTGTTTTAGAAGCTATGGGGACCCCGATGTCATAGCAGAGGGGTCAGTGGACTTCAGGGTTGTCTGGAATGCTGGCAGCTCTGCTCCCCGTGGTGAGGGGTGTCTCAGGACGGTGTCAGTCCCGCGGCACCCCCTACTCACCTTCACTCACCCGCTGTGGGCTCAGCGGCTCGCGGCCCCCGCTGCGCCTCTGCGCTAGCACGCTCGGCCCCCTCCGTCCCGGCCTCCTCTGCCGCGCTACCCTGCGGAGCCCTTGGTCATACCTCACTGCGACAGGCGGCCTCCCTCAGCCGGGAGAGCCATACCCCCGGGGACGGAGGACAAACACCTACCGACGCCCGCCCGTTGAACCCGGGGGCGACAGGCTCCGCCTCCACCCGCTTTCGAGGGCAGGGTTTGGGCGGTTGGGATTATGGGAAATGTAGTTCCAAGGCAGGTGCGGCCCCGGGGGCCTTGGGGCCACCAGGGGAGTTGCGGCAGGGTGGGATGGGTTTGTGACTCCAACGTGTGTGTGATCTGGAAGATTAGGCTGTTTGCCCCTGTGGGACACCTGCACTGTCGGTAGGCTTCCTTAGGCCGAGAACGATGGTCTTTCATTCAGCCAGTCTTTTGTTTGGTTGGATGTTTGTTGTTCTTTGTTTTTTTTTGACACACACCGGCTCACTTAGCCCAGGCTGGCCTCGCATTCACTATGTATAGAGGATGACTTTGAGTTACAAATCCCTCTGCCTCCATCTTCCGGGTGCCGGGATTACAGTCCTTTGTCACTTGTTTAAAGGACGCTATAGGGGGTATTAAGCCAGGGGCTTGTGCATGCCAGGCAAGCACTCTCAGAGCTCTACCAACTGCTACACCTCACCCTAGCAGCAAGGACAGTCAGCGCTGCACATGGCCAGGCGTTGGAAGGTGAGGGGAAAAAAATGGAAGAGTGGGCTTCGGCTTTAAATTCAATCTCTGACGGAATTAAACACGCTCCCCTCCCATCTAATAGAGCAATTTCTTATTTCCTAAACCTCTCTCTCCCTCCGCCCTCTCCTTTATGTGTGTGGATGTTTTGCCTGTATGTCTTTGTACCTGGTGTGTACAGTGCTCATGGGGAGTAGAAGAGGTTGTTCTGAGGAGGTGGCGGCGGCGGCGGCGGCGCACGCCTTTACTCCTAGCATTTCTGAGGCAGAGACAGGTGGATCTGAGTTCAAGCCCAGCCTAGTCTACAGAGCTCATTCCAGGACAGACAGGACTATATAAACAAAAAACAACAAAAAAAAAAGAAGGAAAGGATATTCCTGAGTTACAGACAGTGTGAGCCATCAGGTGGGTGCTGGGACTCAAACCCTGGTCCTCTGCAAGAGCAAGTGCTCTTAACTTAATTAATTAAGACTTTACATGCATGGGTGTTTTGCCTACATGTATGTCTGTACCACGTAGAGTTATAGACAGCTGTGAGCCGTGTGGGTTCCCAGAATTGCACCTGGGTCCCCAGAAGAACAGCCAGTGCTCTTATCAATTTATTCATCACTGGGTGGTAGTGGTTCATGCTTTTAATCCCAGCACTTGTGAGGCAGAGACAGGTGAATCTCTGTGAGTTTGAGGCCAGCCTGGTCTACAGAGTTCCAGGACAGCCAGGGCTACACAGAAAAATCCTGTCTCAAAAGACCAAAAAAAAAAAAAAAAAAAGTTATTCATCTTTCAAGTTCCCTCTCGATTGTTTTGAAGAAACAAGCAAAGACTTCTTGAGTTGAAAGTCCTATTTATTCCACCTTTTGTGTATTTTAGGCAAGCTACTTCTCTGTAAAGTCAGAGTACTGGCAAATAATAAATGTGGGGGCTGGAGAGGTGGTTCAACAGTTAAGAGCACTTGTTGCTCTTGCAGGGGAGCTGGGTTCAATTCCCAGCACCCACATGATGGCGCACAATCATCTGATCCAAGGGATCCAATGCCCTCTTTTGACCTCTATGGCACCAGGCACACACAGGATGCATATACATATATGCAGGCAAAATGCTTATAGATGTAAACTGACATAAATCTTAAAAAATAACAGTAAATGTGTATTTAGTATTTGCTGCTGGCCGGCCACTGGGGTAAGTACTCAGTGAACACTCTGTTAAAAAGTTCATGCAAAGAAACTAGTGTTCACCTCAAAAGGAGTGAGAAACGGCTTATTCTGAGCTATAGGAATGCCTGTGCCTGGGAAGCAGATTCAGCATGCTCAGAATAGCATGGTCCGGGACAGAAGTAAGCATATGAGAGTTCATTAATTCTAGAAGAAAGTCATAAATCAAGGCACTTACCAAAAACCTGGGACCACAGGCTAGAGGGCTGCAGGAAAGTGGGGGAAACTGGCTTAAAGGTTTCAGATGCCAGCTGGGTTTGGTGGAAGCCGGTAGTCAGCTAAGGATGCATTTTAAAGGCTTTGTGTGATTGTCTGTCAGGTCAGAAGCTGGTCAGAAATGAGCGGCCTTAAAACAAAGCAAAAGTAGCCCAGGGTGAATTGGTTATGGCTCTGCAGCATTCTTCTTTTATTATTGACAGGGTTTCTTTTATTTATTTATTTATTTATTTATTTATTTATTTATTTATTTATTTAGGTTTTTCGAGACAGGGTTTCTCTGTGTAGCTTTGCGCCTTTCCTGGAACTCACTTGGTAGCCCAGGCTGGCCTCAAACTCACAGAGATCCGCCTGGCTCTGCCTCCCGAGTGCTGGGATTAAAGGCGTGCGCCACCACCGCCCGGCTCTTTCTTTTTTTAATGATTGATTTATTTTTATTTTATGTGCACTGGTATTTTGCACACATGTATATCTGTGTGAGGGTGTCAGGTCTCCGGAACTGGAGTTACAGACAGTTGTGAGCTGCCATGTGGGTGCTGGGAATTGAACCCAGGTCCTTTGGAAGAGCTTAACCGCTGAGTCATCTCTTTAGCCCCACGAAGCAATATTTTTTAGATCACCGTCTCTCCCTTGGAGGCAGAAATCAAGACATCTTTCAAATCCTCTGGTGGAAACATCAGGTAGGTGTTTACAGTAAAGTAAGGAGATCTCTGTGGTGCGTCTCTGATGACAACTGATGTCATTCTTAGGTTTGGGTCAGGGGAAGCTAAGGATCTGTTCATACATTTCAAAAGGATTTACGTATCAATCAGTAGGGTGGCCGGTGATATATAGGTGGGCAATAAATGGCTACTTAAAGGACTAAGACTGCCCAGGATAATCTGACTCTGGACCTACAAAAAAAACAAAACAAAAAAATTGCTAAGTAAGTTTTGTTTTTAATGAATCTGTTTATTAAAAAATGGCAACAGGTAAGGGTTACAGTCTTTTTTTTTTTTTTTTTTTTTGAGACAGGGTTTCTCTGTATAGTTTTGGTGCCTGTCCTGGATCTCACTCTGTAGCCCAGGCTGGCCTCGAACTCACAGAGATCCGCCTGGCTCTGCCTCCCGAGTGCTGGGATTAAAGGCGTGTGCCACCACCGCCCGGTGGATACAGTCTTCTGTTAGCAGCTGTTTTAGTCTGGGCCAAGACCACGATGAAAAGACGGAGGCACCCAGCAAACAGCCGTCCTCCCGAGTCAGGCCTCACTGCTCTCTGGCCCAGTGGATCTTGCCATCGTCTCCCAGTCGCACAGCCCCGCTGGCCACCAGCTGGAGGGCTGCAGGGAAGATCTTATGTTCTGCCACTTTAACTCTTTCAGACAAGGTCGCAACAGTGTCACCCCTCTTCACAGGGACGGCCTCTTGTAGGATGATCTGTCCCGCATCTACATCTTCCTGGAAAAGGAAACACATGTCTTTAAACCAGTGTTCTGCATCCAGACCCGAGAGGCAAGTTTGGTAGGAAGGGACATACTCACAGCTACAAAGTGTACAGTACACCCGGTAACCATGACTCCAGCTTCCAGGACTTGCTCGTGAGCATTTGAACCCTTGAAAGAAGGCAGCAAGGATGGGTGGATGTTGAGCATTTTCCCTAGAAAGCAAAAAGCAGTGGTCGGAAATTTTAGCTCTTGTTTATTCTGCTAAAGGAACAAGTGCTCATCACTGTTTACCTTAGAGACTCAGCTGGGGGAATTGGCCCACACACGCACAGAACGACAACAGGATGCAGTCGGAGGGGTAAAGGCTGATGACTGAGCTCAATCCCCAGGACCCACACAGAGGAAGGAGAGCACCCACTCCTATGAACTGCCCTCCAACCACCACAAGCAAGCCGAGGTGACCCGACCACCCCTGCACACAAAGTAAATAAATAAAGTGCAAAAAAAGGATCAACAGACTGTAGACATTTATGCATTTTCAGCAACAATGCCTTCCTTGCTACCTTCTGTCTGTGTGTCTGACAGGAGAGCATGAATCTTTGTTTTTCCTTCTGTGGTACAAGGTATCAAACCAGGGCATGTACATGCCAGGCAGAACTAAACCCCAGCTACCGGTTTGTTTTTTCTTTAATTATTATTTTATTTTACAAGTGTTTTGCTTGCATGTATGTCTGTGCACCATGAATGTGCCTGGCGCCTGAAGAGGCCAGAAGAGGGTGTTGGGTCCCCTGGAAATGGAGTTACAGATGGCTAGATGGTTGTGAGCTGTCATGGAGCTGGGAATTTTACCCAGGTTCTCTGCAAGAGCAACAAGTGCTCCTAACCACGGAGAGTTCTCCAGCCACTAGCTCTTGGTTTTCAATCTGGCCTTAAACACATTCCATCAAGGCTGATCTCTGCCCAGCTCTCCCTTCATCTGGGGACGCTCAGGCTCTTCTCCCTTCTCTCCCCTTCCTTCACTTGGCTTTTGAGAAGTGTGTCCTATCTGACCAGGCTGGCCTGGAACTTGCAGCCCTCCCATCTTGGCCTCAGGATGCTCAGGTTACAGGGATGGACTGAGCATCACTTTTTCTCATCTCTAAACCTCTAAACCAGGAACAGGGTCTTCCTGATACTTCTCTCATAGTGAAGTGGGCCTCTCAGTGATTAGTGAGAGTAGCCAACAGCTGAGCGAACTGGTCTGTAACTCAGTCTGGACCCTCAAACAAAGCAGAGGGAACTAATACAGTCTATGTTAAAATCTTTCACTCTGAGGATCGTCTGGAAAGCTGATCACTCGAGTCCATTTTCAGCTGACCTCCCAATGTAATGTCAAATGACTTTTGCTTACCATCCCATTTTTTGACAAAAGGGCCAGAGAGAATCCTCATGAATCCCGCAAGACAGACTATGTCTATAGAGAATTCTTCCAGGACATGGTCAACAGCATTGTCAAATTCAATCCGATTTTTATATAGTTTATGATTAATTACCTGTAACAGGAAAAGAGAAATAACCTTTACAGAGACCACACTTCAGTGGTGAAGATGTACCCACTAGAGGGATCGTTGAGGAACG